GTGGGGTGGGCTCTGCACACACCCCTCCCCTCCTCATGTTGCATCACTGATCCTGTGGCTCTGGTAGATCACATCAGCCCCAGAGTAGAACAAAAAAATAATTTAGCAGGAGAAAAAAAAAGACAAGAAAAATACCCTGGAAACTGTGAACCCTGAGATGAAGGTGGAACTACCCTGTGTCAATAGTTCTGTGTTTGGTAGCTCAGATACATGAAGAACATGATGGTTTCATCTACCAAAATCATTTGAAAAGACAGCTGGCTGTGTTTTGAGGGAGTCTGGAAGTTTCTTGCCACTATGACTAGCATGAGATACGTGACTTGTCCTGCCATGCCTCTCTGTGCCCCGATGATGCAGGACTGGTATGCTCCTTGGTGAGGAAACTGCAGGTATCTGCTGCCCTTGTGATCCTGCAGAGGAATCCTTCTCCCAAGTTTGCTGTCAAAAATGTCTAGGAACAGAAAATAAGGACCTGAAGCACATGAGTATAAAGGTTCAAAATGACACAAGAATTTAGAAATGTGTGTTATAGGAGAATGATATGCTTTTTAGCCCAGCTGAGCTGTAATTAAAATGTCTTACTCGGGGAGCTGCTTAATTCCTATGAGAAGAAGGTGGACGGCATAGAGAAATCAGTGATAAGATCAAGATGAATAACAGATCTGGAAAGGGGGAGTTAGCAGAGGAAGATAGGAATGGGGTAATTTAATTTACCAGCTGTGGATGGGCTCAAGTAAGTGTGATCCACAGAACAAGAGAGAGGACGTAGTTTGGTCTGTGCTTTCATGGTGTTCCTCACAAAGTGGATTGTCCGTCTTGTTGCAGAAGAGTGAAGTTGATGCTAAAATCTGAGAGACTTATGAACCTTAAAATTTCCTTTGTCATAAGGTGTGGCTCTTCCACAAGTTTGGATATCTATCTGCCTAAAATTTCCCTGTGCTTTCAGCTGCAGCTATTGTCCCTAGTTTTCCTTCTGAGTTGTCACGTTATGTGCGCTGGCAAGCAGCTGCTCCCTTTCAGCCTGGGCCTGATGTGGTTTCAGTGGTGTTGGTGGGATGGACAGTGCTGCTGTTTGTCAGAGGACCTAATGTAAATATCAGCCCCTTGAAAAAGATCAGTCTGTTCTCCTTAACCAAGAAAGAAAGAAAATCAAGTGTGGTGGTGGTGGAG